AGATTCAGATGGAACAATTGAAAATAGTACTTCAGGAGATTTGGTCTTTTACTTGGATGGGGCCCACAGTCCTGAAAGCATGGAGGCTTGTGCCGGGTGGTTTTCGAGTGCTGTTAAAGAAAACCAAAACCATCTTTCCGCTCATTTGAACAATGTTTCGAGCAATGGTCATCTTCGACCAGGAAAGAATGACTCGGTCAAAATCTCCAAGAATGTAAGACTTTCTAAGAGATCTTTTTTCACTTTCTAAGAGATCTTTTTTTTCACATATTTAAAAAGTAGTTAAAATCGCTATGTATATATAAATCATTCCTCTATTTTATATGCCTTTTATTTTGCAGATCCTCTTATTCAACTGTATGGATGTGAGAGATCCCCAAATCCTTCTTCCAACACTTGTTGATAGGTGTGCTTTATCGGGTATGGGGTCCACACATGTTTTTTAGTTATAAAGCGTTAACCGTGGCTGCTATTTGTTATGAAACATCTTTCGACTCACATGGAATTTTCTCTCTTCATGGGCTACGAAGTCCTGAATGTGATTTAACTTAAGTGGGGTAACCATGCGTTAAAATTTAAATAAAGAATGTGGCAAAGCATATGGAGATTTTTTATTTTTTTTTTTGGTATCTTTTTCTCTGTTATCGGTTCCAATTTCTCTAGCTCAGTCATTATGAGACTTACTTACCCCTAACTTATCTATCAGGTACTTACTTCGCAAAAGCTATTTTTGTTCCGAGTATCTCAACTTACAGCAAGGTCACCTCTGGTTCGTCAGCTGTTCCTATGGAGATCCCCTCCAAGGATTTGACTTGGCAGTTTAATCTTCAGAGAGTATGGGAAAAAATTATTCATGGCAAAGGTGACCTCCATTACCCCCTTCTTTTATTTTTTATTTTTATTTTTTTTATGTCCAACTTAAAAAAAAAAAATCATCATTTCTTTACCCAATCATATGCAGTTAGCAAGAGTTTTGAGATGAAAAGACCAGACACTACTCCGCCACGAAGTTTCATTCTCGATGATGATATATCTAACTGTAGTCCTTTGGAGGGAAATTATACTTGCAGTGCTGTAGTTTCTTCACTGCCGATGACTATCAACTGGTTGAGGAATTATGCTAAGGAAAATCCCGCCTACAGAATCCAGGTATTTTTTAATATGAAATTCAAAAGAGGCATTAAAAAAAAATTACAAATCAAGCTGAACAGTTGTAGTTCTTGAAATTATTCTGTATTATTACATTGAAAAGATGACATAGCTAAGGATTTTGCTGATTGCTTAGGATATTTGTGATTATGAATTTCTAGGTTCTTGTTACGGGCTCGTTGCATCTTGTTGGGGATGTGCTAAAGCTTCTTCGGAGGTGATAGAGCTCTTCAAAGAAAATGGATCTTCACGAGCTCTCTCTACTTCCTTCTGTTGTGCCATTACTAAAAGCAAGTAGCATCTTCATCCTGGTTAGACCCTTCAACTGTGGGAATTGACTCGTATACACCTCATCTATTTATGTCGATTTTGTTCATCAAACTTGCAATAAGTTTGTAAAAAATTTAGACTTGACCACTCTACAAAAGTTTAATACCAGAAAGAACCTTGAGGGGCAAATGAAAAGAAAAGAAGAAAAACGAGAAACCCTTTACTGAAACTAAGGGCCTTTTCATCATTTGTGTACTTTGGTCAGAGCGTCAATAGCATTTTACTAGTAAACTTCATACCCTTTTTTTTTTTTCTCTCTTTCATTGATTTTGTTCTAATTCTTTGATTTTTGAGTGTCTTTTCTTGATTCGGGTTAGTACATGTTACTAAAGTTTGATGCTTGTATTCCACTTCAACAATATATTTCAGTATATTGTTTAATAAACTCGATGTGTATATGTAAGAAAAGAAGAAAACTTTATATGTCTGTCTTTGCTCTGATTGTGAATTTCATGAAAAAAAGTAGTGTATTTACTGAAAATCCTTGCCCTGGAAAAATGAATTGCAGTTTTTGTCCTGACATAGATAGGCCCTTAAAACAGAAATTTCTTGCCCAGTTTCAGCAGGATCTTACCATCTGATCCACCCACAAAACCTTTTTTTCCCTTTTTCCCCATTCCTTTCTTTTCAGCAACACTCGACCGACCGTAACATCAAAACTGAGAGCACGACTACCCGTCAATGTCTTTTCGTACCTTACGGAACCCACTCTTTTAGTTCTTGAAATTGTCCTGTTGACCCTTCACAACTTCCACCGGGAACACGCAGGTCCCTCTCGATGGGTCCTCCGTGACTACCTTCCCGAGCCCCTCATACCAGCACTGCCCCTCATCTTGAAAGTGAGACTGGAAATTCATATTGAACGCATATGAAACCTTCTCCATATCATCAAGGCTACTGCACGAGCCCCCAGGCGCCAGGCTCGTGCAGTCCCCACCCTTGGGCCCACACGCCTTCTCATACTGAACCTGCACTTTTGTCCTGTCCCCAGCCGCCTTCTCGTGGTCCAACATGCACCACCGTTGGGGCATCCGCATAATCCCCCGAGCATTGACTGGGAAAATATCCCTTCCTTGCCCCGTCAGGTCTATCCGGTACTTGGGCTCGCCGTTTGACCTGTCGACTCAAAGTCGAGTCAATCTTAGATTTAGGCTATGTTTGGTAAAGCATATACGCTAACTTATAACTTATTTGATTAGTTTATGAGCTTCCTGTATATATTCAAATAAGCTTGGTTTGGTAGAACTGAGTTTTTTTTTTTAAAAAAAAGCTCGAGCTCTTGGTAGCTTTTCAAATAAGCCATTAGTATTGTTTATTTCAGCTAGCTTGTCAGTTAATTTTACCAAATACTTATCACATAAGCTAGTGTTTTAGATATAAGGCATAAGCTATCAACCTCAAAATTCACTTAAAAACTATGTTTACCAAACATAGCTTTAAATCGAACGTTTTTTTTTTATTTTTTATTTTTTATTTTTTATTTTTTATTTTATTTTATTTTTTCTTGAAAACACATACCTATAGATACCCCAATGCCGGCCGTATGGGATTGTGTCCGGATTCTTGTTTTCGTCTGTGAGGGCGTGCACGAAGATCTTGATAGGCTTACCGGGCCGTTTGGGGGTCCCTCGGCCGCTAGTGACGAGCGGGAGCAAAGTCTTGTAGAACCGCTCGGCATTGGCCACGCTGGCACTCGAGTAGCCATCCGTAGGCCACCCGATGTGGCTCACGACAATCTCCACATCGGGTGCTCCCGCCTTCTCGATGGCCCACGCGAAGGCATCGTGCGCGAACTCAAACACGTTCGTGTACACGGCTCCGTGCACGTCGGTCACGACGTGAGTCGAGCGGCCATCAGCATATGCGAAGCTCGGGTCGTCGATTCCAAGCCACAACATGATGTCGATGGGGAAAAGCTCGATGGCGAGGTGGGCCCCACTTTCCTGGAGAAGTTTGAGAAATCTCCCGAACTCGTCTCGGATGGAGTCCTTGAGCTCGGCTTCGGAGGGTTTGGTGATGTTGCCCTTGAGTATTTGGATGGGGCTCGGTAGGGTCACTTTTATGTCCCCGTGGCCCGCGTCGTCTAGGGCTGCCTGCAAGTTCCTGACGGCTTCCACAGCCATCGTTTGGATGGTCGAGTTGTTTATTCCTTTGATGAACGCGTGGTTCCCGAGGTAAACGTGTCTGCAGAAACTTTGTAATTTTGCATGAGAAGGTGCAAAAAAATGGAGAATTTGCAAAAAAAGGCACACACACACACACAAAGGGAAATGGAGGCATTTATGCAAATTTTCCTTAGAGAACTTGAACTTCTTGAAAATGATATTTGCCCGGTCGAGAAATGATTTTGTGGATCGAATCCACGTCCGATCCGGACCCTTTTTTATCCCGAATATTTTCTTGTTTCTCACGAGAAACGATTTCGTGGATCTAATACATGTCCGATCCGAACCCCTTTTTCCCTGAATATTTTCTTGTTTCTCATTCCGAAACAAGAAAGGGATAAAATAACGACTGACCCAAAAAAAGCCGTGGTCTTTTTAATCTTTATACCTTATGCTTGCATCGTCGAGCCAGTGGATTCTGTTTTGTACCCATGCTTGCGAGTCATTCTCATTCGAAACCTTTGTGATGTCAAAAATGGTGACCGTGAGGTTAATCCCGCTCCATGCAAACGCCTCTAACACGTCTTCTTGGGTCGAGTAGACTCTTGCAGCCGGGACTTGGTTCTGCAGAAGCACGTCGACCACCATCGACGGGACGAGCCTCTGCGCGTTTTGTCGTCCCCAATTGATCCCTATCGTGCCCTCTGCCTCGACAATAATATTGCCGATAACCGTAAAGAAAATCGCTGCAAAATGCAGGTTAGTAATCATATTTTTTCGAAGGGTATATAATAATGTGAGGAAATTTTGGGATCAATGAATCGACATGATATCCCGATTATCAGGAGATAGCTTTTGGGTTTTCTCCTTTATTTATTTGTTTTTCCTTCGCTTTTATTGTATTCTGAAATGGAGGACATTTGATGGGGTGAGAATTTTATCCGTTGGTTTTAGCTGAGGTTTTTGTGAGGGAGATAATATTGGGAGATAGATGGCTAACTGTTAGTTGTTTATGGATTTTAATTGTAATTAGCTAATTAAATGATGGAAAAATTAGATCCTAGGAGAATGATTTATAGTTTGATTTACCAAAATCTACCATCCATGAATACTTGTCAAGATGTATTTTTACAACTTTAATTCATTCATATTAAATATTATCAATATAATTAAATAATATCAATCAATCATTTTTACATATCATATCAACTTTAATTAATTATTTATTTGCTTACATAAGTTTAACTAACCATCATTTCACCTCATATTTCTTGTACTTTT